GCTGCTGCTGCTGCTGCTGCTGCTACTGGTGGTGGTGGTGGTGGTGCTGCTGCTGCTGCTGCTGCTGCTGGTGGTGCTGCTACTGACATTTAGTCGAGAACACGCGAAAAACGTGTCTCCGTGGTGCCGGCAGCATCTGTAGGCGCCGATCCGTCATACACGCGGTGCCATGGTAACGACACGCACCGACGGAGCGATCGAGCAATCAGAGCATCTCAAAGAAGTGAAGCTATGAGTTCACCCGCCCCCTCCTCCTCCGTAGAAGGTTGGCTCTAGGTCGGTGCGGCGATATCGCTGATTTTAAAATCCGGGTTCGGATTGAAGGATCAGCGTAGTCGTCGTTGGATGCATGGAAGAGGAGGCTTTAATCATTGCTTCTCTAAGCAAGTATTTTTTATTCGTTTCCGTTGGGCGATTTGACACGAGTACCCGTAGAGACTTGATGCGGTTGCAGCAGCCACCGCTGGGCTGAACAGACGATATATGCATCTCGTTACGCGAGGAACGCAGGAAACCCGTTTGTAAATATATATATTTGACAAGCGTTGTAGTTATCATGAGGTCGGACAACGACGGTTGCCACGATTGAAGGAAATGTGTGACACGTGGATTGAAGGTTGTTTTTTATTTCGTTCGCGGCCCGTAGACATTACGCCTTCTGCGGCGTTTCCACGCGGAATCAGTTATTATTTTTACTTTATTCTCACTCCTGACAGTCGAACGTCGTTTACTTTAGCAGTTTACTTGCAACAGACTGAGTAAATTATCTAAAGGAAATTGACCCAGTGCGTACGTCTTCACTAGCAGTAAGTGCGGAAGAGCTCCTTCTCAGTATTTAAGCGTGCGTGGTAAAATATAATTTATTGTATTCTGTGTTGCCGCTGCCAGACATTCGTGGCTATCGTTTTCGCTGTCATTAAATACGTGTAAACTCGTGAATACTGTACATGTATAACATAAAATTTTATATAATAAATCATTATATTACCGGGTAAATATCTTCTTTTTATGTTAGCTTGATGCTTTAATGAGAATATCGTTGATATGTTTTTCGACTATCGTTAGGTATCTTGAGTTAAATCGAATTTTCAATCGAAATAATAGCATGTTTCATAAAAGTCTCAGTCTACAACGTATAAATGACAACATCTCGGCTCTAGCAAAACATATTCTGACCAGCAGGGGATAAAACAGACATTGGATGAATACAAAAAACGAGAATTTAGTAGTGACAAATTTATTTTAGATGTGGTATTTTTATGTGACAAATGTATTTATTGATATTGACCGGAAAGAAAAAGAAAACCATCTTGAATCACTTCAACTTTTAAACGAATGTTCCAAACGAAGCGGTATATTCTAATTAACATGAATTAATATCCAAATAAGTGGTACATTTTCTACGCCCTCACGATCGACACATTGATACGTACAATAGTATGTATGATGATAATAAACAGCAACACAAATCCGTCAATAAGATATCGTACTACTTCTTGACAGCTTTTTTAACTATAAGACAATTTCACAACTCTAAGGCTGTGTTTACACTATCTACTTTTTGTTAGATAATAGACGAATATGATAAGTTATTCATTTATATTTTTCACTTACCGCAAATCGGCAGTGTAAACGTAAAAGTCTTACGCACAGCCAGTGTAACGACGATGATGACGTTACCCGGTTCAAGATAGATTAGTAGCGATGAACAATGGAAACTCCAAAGTCCAAGCAGTTGTGTTCAGCAAATAGTATTATTGTTTCTCAACCCACATGCGCGCGCACAGAGACACGCAGCCGCGTGCCTCGCACACTCACGTCCGACCTCTCTCTTCAACCAAGACCTTCCATTTATACATTTCTAGCTAATTTTAACGAAGAAATTCGCGCGCGCGCGGACAACCACACCCGCTGCCCACATACACTACAGTTCTCTCTCCACCGTTTCTCATCTCCATCATCCATACTACATCAAACGCGCTACCGCCGACCAACCCATTATGCAACTACAGTCGCTACATTTCCAATCACTTAACTACTAATTGTAACATCTGCAAACCATACTTTACATTACCTTCCTTTCCTCCAAGACGATGGCTTCTACAAGCCAATCGCGCCCTTAGCGTCCTTCGCTAATCTAAAATAAACCGCTAATAGTAATCCACGCCTAGCGTACACACCTATGCACACTTACATCTACATACACACACCACACACACACGCACAGCACACACCAACACGGCACACCCGGCCACACGCACACGCACAACGCACACACACACACACACACACCCAACACACACACGGCCACACACATCGCACACGCAAACGCACCCAACACCACATACACGCCACGTACAGCACCACGCAAAGCGCACGACGCACACGCACACGCACGCGCAGCAAGCACACGCCGCACGCACACACACACACACACACACACACACCACACACCTGTATTCATCTGTCTATTAGACATCAACATTACCAACATTGCTCCTTACCCCGTCCCCTTACTATACTTAATACATTTCTCTTTCACCGAAGCACCAATACAATTTCATACAAAAATACAGTTGTTGAACAAAATCCATATACCACCTCTAATACACCATCGATACACAGATACAAGCAGATCGGTGAATACACAGCGCCTTTGAAATCATCTACTAACCATCTGATATAATCCACATGCTTGACCCGAGTTGCAGCTAACCCATGATCTAAACCTGTTCATTGCTTAACATACCGAGAAAACAACACATCAACCACACGTCCTGCCCTTGCAATACCGCCCACAACAACACACTCAAATACAAAAAAGTACGAAATAATACAATTGGAAAAAATAGATCAGAACATCGACTACAAATAAAATTAACTCCCCAAGAGTACGTAGCTCCATTCGCCCAGCGAATATCACTAATGAGCATATGCTTTCAATCATGATAATCACATAACATCGAAACCGCAGGTCACTCTAATTACACGCACACACATGGCAGGTACACGCACGTAGCACGCACGTACAGCGCGGGTAACGCGGTACACGCACGTACACGCGGTACACGCAGGTAACACGCAACGTAGCACCGGTACACGCAGCGTACAGCAGGTACACGCACGTAGACGCGGGTACACGCAGGTACACGCCCGTACACGCACGTATAACGGGGTAGCGCAGATACACGCACGTACACGGCCGGGGTTACACGCAGGTACCGCACGTACACGGCGGGTACACGCACGTTACACGCACGTAACACGGCGGTAACACGCCCCGTAAGACCGCGGGTACACGCAGGTACACCGCAACGTACACGCAAGTATAAGCGGGTACACGCACTACACGCGGCACGTACCAACGCGGGTGACGCAGGTACACGCGGGTACCCGCACGTACACGGCAGGTCAGCGCACGTACAGCAGTGTACAGCACGTACAACGCCACGTACACGCGGGTTAGCAGCGCGAGGTACACGCACGTGACCGCGGGTACCCTCGTGTAGTGGCGTGTACCCGCGTGTACGTGCGTTGTACGTGCGTGTACCGCGCCGTGTACGTGGGTACCCGCGTGTCGTGCGTGTACCCGCGTGTACCCGCGGTGTACGTGGCGTGTACCCGGCGTGTACGTGCGTGTACCCGCGTGTACGTGCTGTATCGCGTGTGCGTGCGTGTCGGTGCGTGTACCCGCTTGTACGTATGCTGTATCTCCGTGGTACCCGCGTGTACGTGCGTGTATCTGCGTGTACGTACGTGTACCCGCGTGTAGCGCAGCGTGTACGCTCTCTGTGCGTGCCTGCCTGAGCAGCCATCTGTTTAAAATTGCCTACTTAGGCCTCGTTTGCGTGGCGATGACCCCCAGGCAATGATAAAATTTAGACTGGTGTCAACCAGAAACTGCGTATGCGCAAACTGACGTAGTTTGTTTACGCAACTTGAACGCCCTTATTTGCTCAAGGACCCAAGCATTGAATGTCAACGGTATTTCATTGGTCACTTGTAAACATGATGAAAGCTAAGTGCTGATTCGCTGTACATAAAGTCCGCAGTTTAACATTCACTATCTCCGGCATTTCGCATTTCGCATCTCGCATTTCGCATCTCGCATTTCGCATTTCGGCATTTCGCATCTCCGCATTTCGCATTTCGCATTCGGCATCTCCGCATTTCGCATTTCGCATGAGCCTTCTGGGCTTTCGTACCGACGCAAGATGGATCGTCTTGCCGCGCGACGTCGCGCACGAGCGTGCTGCACCACGGACACGTCCAGCCTGTAACATGTGTTTTGATGTGTACATGAAGTAGTCAGCGAGGCTATTAGACTAGGTTTTATTTTTGGTGACCATGTTAGTCTGTGTAGACGCAGCGTCGCGCATATTATTGGGCGGCTGCATTGATGATTACAGGGAGTTGGATAAGCGGGTTTTAGTTAGGCAGTTTCTAGGCGTCATTGGTGAAATGGGGGTAAAACGCGTCTGGAGAAGCGGTACAGTGGCCGTGTGCATGTGGTTAGTAGGAGTTTTTGGGGAATATGTAGAGAGAAGATGTAAGAGTAGTGAGGATTCGGTTTCTGTCGGGGAGTAACGCAGCGCGCGACCCGGCGTGTGGCGGCGGTTCTTTGTCTGTGTGTAAGGCAGATGTGATGTCGGTGTAAGATATTAAAGGTTGTACATTTAC